CCATCTCCAAGCACCGACTGCAGCTACTTGGCTCATACTGATCTGAAGGAGGAACTGAGTAATCAAGACATCTGCACATTCATACACAGCCACTTTAGGGGGAAATCCCTTCCAGACACAACACATACACAGGCACATTTTAACTCCAGCTCCTGCTCTGGAGGACTCAGTCTAGCCTTCTGCTTAGCTCTGAATCTTCCCAAAACATGGTTTCCCCAGCAATGAAGTGAATCCCAGGTACTGCTTGAAAAACATTCATCCATTCCCAGCAAAACATCTCTGCAGCACTCCAAGCCCCTTGCAAGGGAACAGGCTGAACGTTTGCCAAAGGGTTACATCTTCCCTGTCTCCCCTTTAATGACATCTCCAGTGATCCAGATGCAACACACATCTCTGATAAATCCTCCCTGCAGTCCCGACCCAGGCAGAGTGTGGAATGCTGAGATAATGGTGCGAGAGACAGAAGACCACTCATGCACATCCAGAAAGTAATAATAAAAGCCCATCAAGAATTACAGTTTATTTCAGGTTCAGAAATGCAGCAGAACATTTTTACAGCAGGTGCATGTGATGCTCAGTAATGACCATGGTTTCAGGAATCGACTGGCTGTGCTCAAAGGTCAACACCAGGAACCATTTACAGATTATGAAACCAAAGGCAGATGTTTTGTCTCATATGAAGTAGGGCATTAACACACAGAGCAAAAAAACCAGAAAGAAATTAAGCGTTTGCTTCTTACAAAAAGAAGTCATTGTTTACCCCGTCCTGGAAAAGTAAAGAGACAGCAGTAAAGCAAACGGCCGGCAAGACGGGACAAATCATAGATCAAGCAAGAGTGGAGGACTGTCTGGACGGGAGGAGCCATCGGTATCAGCTCGCCTGCAGACAAAGCAAGAGGAAAGACAGGCAGAGTAACATTCATTTACACAAGGGAGCTGTTCTGCTGGAGCCCCAGGAGGATGTTCAGTGCCACAGTGGGAGGAGCTGTGCCGCAGGGACACCAGCAGGCTGGATGCCTTCCGGTGGCACAAGAGCAAAGTAGGTCTGCCCTCAATTCAGGAGGTTTGGACTATTTTAAGACAGAAAGACAGAACTAGCCAGTAATCTCCATATGCTATGTGCATCATGGTTAGTGTAGCTGTCTGCAACAGAGAGGATAATATTTTCTATGTTATGCTTTAAAATGAAATGCCATAATCTATAATGTATCTCTTTTAATATAATAAATAATCTACTTTTACGAGGCTTACTCAGAAAGTGCAACAAGATCAGCAAATAAAATAAACACACATTAACTATGTACATAAGCCTTTTTGTGGAACATACAATCTTTTTAACCCTAACATGAGACCCCTTGAGATCCAAGGCCGAGAGCTATTTATGGCATTCACAAGCTTCTCAGCTGTTGGTCAGCCATGGCAAGGTGAGGTGGAACATGTTCTCTACGCACAGACCCAGGCTGAGCCTCATTGCAATACTAGAGGAGCACCCTCCTGAAACTTAGCAACTACGTCACCCAGATCATTATTATGTACCTCACATAAGATCAGAAACACCGCTGTTGCTTAATTAGTGCTCCACTCCTCCCTGGCAGTCTTCTGAGCTTTGCCAGAGGGAATCAAAGGAAGGGAGAGCAACCTGCCCCTTCTCTGATAGAGAGTTCAGACCTGGCTCATCCTGTGTAAGTGGGTCTGCAGAGGGGGCAATGGCCAGTGTGAGGAGCCAGTCCCTCTAGCAGATCCACAAGGTGCTCATCCTGCTGTCCTTTGGGCAGGGAGCGAGTTGCTGCCAAGGCTGCTCCTCCGAGAACAAGGGACAGGACTGGCACGACTCGTCAGCTTCAGGAGTGAGTGGGACAAACAAACCCATTCCAGGCACTGCAGAGCAGGAGGAAGCGGGCCAAGGTTGGAGGACAGTACTTACTCAATTGGATGTGGCAATTTCTTGAGAAGCTCTTAGTGTTTTTCCTAGAAACAATTCTACATAGTTTATTCTGAAAAGCATATACGCAAGAAGAGGTGAAATTATCGAACTCTGGATCTGTGCTCACAGTTATTTATTAACCTACACACCTAAAAGTGTTGCATTTAGGGGACAGGGCCAGATTTAGATGTGATCTGGATGAGGATGCAGAGGAAGGAGGGCTGTGCAGCTGTGTCCCATGACCTCGGCATCAAGCACAGAAGCAGATGGTGCTGGCGCCTCACTGCCCCCTCCTCCTCTTTCGGGTAAATCCACCCTCGAGAGCTTCATTTACAATTCTGCTGAGAAATACAGTTTATTGGGGGGCAGAGTTAAGGACAGTGCTGAATTGTGCTACCTACTTCCTTATGCTTGGCAGAAACAGTCATTAAAGTAAATTAAGGAGTCTCAAGTACAGAGAATTTAAAAACATGTTTTCAGGCCAGGATCTCTGTCATCTAATTGAGGCATTACCACCCTCGAGTCCTGTGCAGCCACACTGGTCTGAATCACCTCCTGGAGGTGATGTCTCTTCCCACTGACCAAAGGGGACCTTGGACAACAAAGCTGGGCATATGGGGTATGGTGGGATAAACCCAGACCATGGTCTTGCATCCACAGCAAGGATTGAGCTGGAAGAGACCTTAAAGTTCATCTTGTTCCAACCCCCCTGCCATGGGGGAACACCTTCCACTAGACCAGGTCACTCAGAGCCCCATCCAGCCTGGCCATGAACATTTCTATCACTGAATGAATATAAAAATTTGGGATTAAAGTCACTTTCTGTGGCTGAGGCACTATGCTTGGCTTTCCATCAGCAGGCAGCTGCCAGTCAGTAACAGAGATCTGATAAACTACATACAGGTTTGCTTGCAAGGCAGCAGCATGGACTGCTATGGCTATTTATAAAAATATATCCAACAGATGCATTACAGGTTACAGCAGAGAACACTAAGCAGTGGAAAACTGTGTAGAACACAAGAAAAATCATAAAAATATATGTTTTCTTTTTTGTAGTAAAAATCACTATGACTGTAGTTGTGTTTGTAACCTTCTTCTTCCTTGAAAGCTGATTCTGTGCACTTGGTGTTGGAGATCTGAGCTTGTTCCCCAAACAAACACCAGCCACTTAAGCAGTTTCTGAGATCACCAAGATGCTGGTGCTCTGACAAACTCCATCTTCACTGTACATCAGATGTGACCTCTACACTCCCCAGGCATGTCTCACAAGTATGAGGCTGACAGGAAATTAAAGTTAAGCTAACATACAAATCATCATGCTTTCCCAAGCTTGTCTCTCTTATGCAAGCTGAAACACAATTTGCTGCAGTGGTGAGCACAGCTAATCAGCAGCCTGGGAATACTTAATAGGCTAAATCCCCATTTGTTGTGGCTCTTTGATTGGATTCTTCCTAACCAAGGGGCTACAGCATACTAGAACCCTACATACAGTTTCAATAAATACATTTATTAGACTGATTATACTGAGGGCCTTTGAAACCACCAATTGCTTTGCCTAGGGATCTGTAACCATAACTGCAATAGCAGCAATTCACATTTTCTGAAGGAACAAGGCCAAATTCCTCTCTAGTTTAATTCTCTTAACTCAGTAAATTTTAAGCTTTAAGGGTGACACTGACCCTAAGTGTTTAAAGTGAAGTAATGCAGTTAAGACAAAAGGTTTTTATAACACATTAATATATAATGTGCAAAACAAGAGGCAGAGAGGACCTCTGCAAGTGAGCAGCTGCTAAAATAATCCATTGCCAGGATGCACAGCTGAGCACTTCCAAGAACCTAGATGGATAAAGCGACCCTAAACCAAGGTGTGCAGGACCAAGTGATCCAAAAAGAAAATCTTCATACAGGGGGCACAGGGGAACTTTATCAACTGGCACGAGAAAATATCGCAAATATCTCAAATCCAAACCAGACCCTTGGGAAGCTCAGCTGCCAGTCTAGGCCGGAGCTCTGTGAATTGGCTCACACAGTGGGCAGAGGAGCGGTAGCCCATGTCCAGCTGTGCACATATCTATATATCTGTATCTATATCCCCTTCTGTTCCATAAAATGGCCAAAAGCAGCGCTCGGTTCCCGGGATCCTGCAACACAGCACATTTATACACACTCACATACGTCCAGGGCTTCCCTTGAGTGGGAGTGTAAGTGTGAGCAAGCACTAGCAGAGGACAAAGCAAGCTAGGACACACTGCTCTGTCATGTACTGGCTCTTAAAACCACCCTTTCCCATCCTTGCTGCAGGGTGAGGCAGCTCCACACCAAGCCCCGTGAGCTGGGGCAGCAGCCTGGTCTTTATCAACCCAACCAACCTGGCACGTCAGCTGCCAGTGTGGAAGTAAAGTGAAACGTGCTGTCCCACACACACCCTTCTCGTTTAACAACATCCCTTAACACCAGACTTTGGATAAGGAGAATTTATAGGAGAAGCAAGCTTCTTTCAGGGGAGCCATGGAAGTGTGGGGCCTTCAGAAGAGCTTGGTAAGAAATCACATGGCTTTTCTTTGCCCAGTTTATCCATTACAAGAGAAAATAGGCATAACTCTGTAATTCTAAATGATAGATAACTTGGAAGGTACAAATAAAAGCAATATTCCTTTCAGATAAGAGGAAAAAAAGCAGGAGATCAAATCAACACATGCACAAACATACACAAAGTCAAGCCCTCCATTTGCTGTAGAGGACAGTGAGCACAGTTGCCTGGGTGAAGATATGTGTCAGTAAGTTAGCTAACACCAGTTATTGCAAAAGGAAAAGTCAAGGCAGCACAGACCTTCCCAAAACATTTAAGACCTCATAAACAATGCAGAATGGACAGAGAGTATATTGGTTACTTGCCTATAGATGTCCATACATGCGACTATACATTGGTTATTGCGACAGTTATCAAGCAATTTGTTCCACATATTTGGTTAACAATGAATGACATGCCAGAAACTCCTTTTAGTCTAACAGGGATGAGTCTAACGGACGAATTACAGTGGGCCGAGTAGGTGAAGGGGGTGGTCTTCGACTGGAGAGAAAGAGAGAAGAAACAATAAGCACAAACACTGAGAACAAAGCTGGCACCTTTCGCCGTTGTTACAGGAACATGCACATGCTCGTACACACGACCATCTTATTTCCACGTACACTGAAGCACAATATCCACAAGCATCCACAATAAGGAAGGAGGCAACGGGTTTGCCAGGTGCCTACCATGCCTTACCCCCCTCACCCACCAGACAGCTCTTCTTGCTGATCCACAGCCTGGGTGTTCTCCAAACATAGTTACCTTCTTGTGCCATGGAAACCATCTGGGGAGGATCATTATTCCCATTTTCTTAGGGGTCAGTCCCAGCCTGGACAGCCACACAGCAGACTTACAGGAACGTTTCGGAGCAGAAAACAGGACTGAGGAAAACAGCCTGCAGTGACTTCAGCTGCTGTTTGCAGAAGCAGGAAAACCTGCAGCTTCTTGCACAGTTGGGCCAACTGGAGTCACGTCAATGTGCCTGAATTTGAGGCACAAATCTGAAGCTGTATATCAATGGCCAGTTATGAAAATGCCAGTTTTGGCTGGGGCTGCTGGACTCATTCATTTACCACTAATGCATTCCTCTATCAGCTTCAGTGCTAAGGAGTCACAGATTTTTTGGGAAGGCTTATGTGTCTTTTTTCTATTTTCCTGTGTACTGCAAACACCTACATTTTAATTCAGACTGTGTCATCATTTGGTAAGAGTCCACAGTGCAAGAGTTGGCAGTAGTATGATCTCCAAGCACATCCCACCTGGAGTCCAGGCTGAGACCTATCCCTCCTTCCCTCCCTCCCTTATCCAAGGATGACACACAAGGATGTCTGCTCGAGTGGCAGACAGAGTCTCTCCAGTAGCTACTCAACACTTTACCTTTTTGTGTGCAGGTACACTGCTCATATCAGTGCTGTGAGGAGGCAACTCCATCAGCATAGTCACAAAGAGTATTTGTTAATGCTCTATTCCACCTGGGATAAAACACCCCACCACTGAGCAAGGCCTGTGCAGAGTCTGAGCTGACAATACCTGTTTGGCCTTCAGCACCTGCACCACTCACACAGTTCTGCTGGCACTGCAATTTGTACGTATAAATTGCCCAAAGAGACTGTTCTATAGCCAGCTATCCAGCAGCGTTCCATTGCTGCAGTTATCCCAATCCATCTCTTACAGTGCTTTTGCTCCCCATTTTCTTTAGTGGGAAGTACCAACTTTATTCTTAACCCCAGCCCAAGTCACCACGAGAGCTCACAGCTGAACCCAGGCTCTGAACAAGGTCGGGAGCCCATGGCTCTTCAGTTCCCATCAGCTTCAGCAGAGCTCATTAATGGCCCACACAAACTGTGCAGCCCCTTCTAACCTGTCCTCCACCTGTGAAAGCAGGGGCATGTCTGGCTCTGAGGAATATTACAAAGGAAACATGTCTCATTCTGTAAGAGCTAAACTGAAGATTAAAAGAATGTAACGTGTTAATCTTCTTTGAACTGGAACAAAATACAGGAGACAAACTTATACCTGACAAAAAAAGTCTCACTCGGCTCAAAGTGTGTCTTGAGCGACAATATTCTCTTTTGGTGAAGAAATGAGAATTTTAATCCCTAACATGCAACAAATACAAAATATGCCAACTGAAGCATTCAATTAAATCAACAAGCTAAAAAAAAAGGCAAAATATAATTTCTTCATGGTGTATTTTTCTTACAGAAAAAATGTTACTGTGTTAACCATTGTTTCTTGTGTTGCTCCAGTGTAGGTCTTCTGGACCCATTTCCAAAATTTGTAGTTTCATAAAGAACCACTTCTAAGGCTCTGCATTTCTGCTGGGTTGCATTAAATTATTCCTTTGTTGAAATGCCTCACATTGCATTGTTTAGAGCTTACTGAAAACATCGTATCATGTGTATACAATTTACAAACAAGGGAAAATGCATACAGCTGTCTTCATATCAAATTTAAAAGATGCAAGCCCAAACATGCGTTTTAATACCAGGTTGAATGCAGCACACTGGGTTCAAATAATGTAATTTAGCCAAATTACTATTTAACACAGCAGGATCAGAAACTGGAGAGCACAGTGGGAGGATTTCCTGGACATAATCAGTCAAACCAAACCTGAACCAAAATCAGGTCTGAGCCCCATTTCCTCCCTGAACTAGAGTTGATATTGCACTCCGACCACTGTTTTGAACTTTCGTTCAAGCCCAGTGCAGACCTAAACAGAAAAATCCCCCATCAGCACTCCTTCCCACTCCAGAGTACCACCCACTACAAGGAGAAGATGACATCCCCATGGGGACCCTCTGAAGAGGAGCTGCTGCCCAGCCACACCAGCCCTGTTCTCCCCACAGCACTGCCCGACAGGCAGGTCTGCTCAGCCAGGGGACCCTTCAGAGCCAGCCATGCTCTCTCCCAACACTTCACACTGTGGATATGTCCCAGTGGAGACACACATGTATCTGGGATGCTCTGCATACATACACTTGCATGTGTCTTCCCACTGGGCATGGATGTCCATGAGGAATGGGCAGACCTCTCCTTAGCTCCAGTCCCTCAAGGGTGCTGCCTGCCTCCCAGCTCCTTAACCCACCACATTGTGACTAGGGGAGTGGGATCTCCACCTGGAGATCACAGGTGCCTTTCAGAGGAGTGGCAGATGTTTGGGAAAGGCAGCACTTGGGAGAAGACCTGCAAAAGCACCATTCCCTCCAGCCCTGCTGCTGACAGTCTCCTGGGCTATGTGCAGCTCCCTGTGCTGGTACTGCAGTAAGGGGACCGTGCTCCCGAGTCCTTGGGCAGAACACAGAGTGGAGCTCTCTTGCATCATCTCACCTTCCCTAGCCACTGGCACACAGGATCAATGGGCATGAGCTGAAGCTCAAATCCAAGTGAAGGAAAGAACAAGCCCAGAAATTACAGAATATTCTGAGTGGGAAGGGACCCACAAGGATCACTGAGCCCAACTCTTAAGTGAATGGCCTGTCACTAGATTTCCCCAATGTGTCAAGTCATTCCGTGACCGTTTCTACACTGGGAGTAGGATTCACACCTTTTCCTTTTGCCCCTAATAGGAATCTCAATCTCCAAGGCAGGAGGAGATGCCAACCTGCACATCTCTTGCCTCTGCCCCACTCTTTTACACCCTGAACAGTGGCTGGGAGTGGACGTGCTCCACGGGATGCAGAGAGGCAGGATTGGGCCACCTTGAGATAACAGAGCCAGCAACCAGCTTCTGGGCACCTACAGAAAGTGCAGCTCTGAGGGAAGCTCTGAGTGGTTTCGGCACCATCGCTTCCCGAGCAAAGGGTACCAAAGGAGCGCTGCCAGAGCCTCCCACCGCGGAGAACGGGAACTACAGAGCGGCAGGGGGAGCTCCAGCCTGCCCGGGGACCGAGCGAGGGAAAACCGGGGAAAAACAACCGCCCCCGGATCCCTGCTCCGCGCTAGCTGCCATCCCAGTGAGTAAATATGTGACTAAGCCCAGTTCAATGTTTAGTCTGAGGCCAGCACACGATAGCGGCGCAGACGGCCCGGGCCGCGGTTCCTCCGTGTTATCGGAGCGACTCCGGCGGCCCGGGAAGCGCTCCCGGTGCGGAGCTGTTTGTTCCCAGGCCCCGAAAGGCGGCTCCCGCTTCATAGAAAGTTCATCATAAAAATGTCCCTGCTGCGGGAATTCCGATTTGGTTATTGTCTACAGCATTTCAGCGGGGTTTTCGAGTTTTAACTCAGCCTTCTTGTCTGGGGGGGAATTGAGGTTGTTGGTGTTTTGGTTTGCTTTTGGGGGGGGCGGGGAGGAAAAAAAAGGGAAACAGCGTTTGTAAAAGCTAGTGCTAAAGGGGCAGGGGATCATAGGTCCCCCCGGGGTTGAGTGAACGAATCTGCAAAAAGAATCAGTACTTCTAATTAGCACACATTAAGCAGACGTAAAGAATTTACCAATGAAAATTGTGGACTAAGTATGTATTTAATAACTCCCTGATGTTGCTGCAGAGACTCCTCTTTGAAGAGCTCAGTGGGGTTTTGAATGGAGGGTAGCTCTCACCCCCATGCAAAAACTTTTTTAAAAAAGGAAAAGTTTTACGTTTATTTTTAACCTAAGCAGCACATCCAGTGTTTCCAGTTTTAAAAGAACTCCTAAAAGCTTTAGCTAGGCTAACACAGAGCAAAAGAAACTAAATAAAGCAAGTCTAGACTTAAAATTCGATCAGAAACATATGGGAGTTCTTCAAGCATTTGCTTTTTGAGAAGTGCTATCGCTCCCCACACAGAGTCCACAAAATATGCTTTGAGTAAAGCATGGCTGTAATTACCCGCTCAGAGAAGATGGCTTCTCACAGCACAGCCAGCACACTGCTAAATAAAAGGCTTTCATTTCCACTTACATTCTACATTCTTGTTTGCTTGTGACCACCAGAGAACACTTGTGGAAGGCATGCACATAACTATATTTTACGATACATCCTATAGATCTGAAATTGTGAACAGAAGTCCATTATTCTCTCCCTTTTCCATGGTCCTGGTTTCCCTATAACGCAGCCCTCTCGGAGCACCCTGATACGTTACACTGTCTTCACAGAATTTAGGAAGAAAATACTTACACAAAATTTCTAAGCGGCTTTAAGACTGACTGCAGGCAAATTTTATTTTAGGTGACAGTACAAATCTAGATGTGAGGCATACAGTAAGAGGATAAAAGAGTGACTTACTTTAGGTGAGGAATAAATCTAGTTTCCTGTTTGGGTGATTATTTAGAGAGACTAAGTAGCTTGGTCTTGGGATAGTTATAATGCCTTGACTGATTTTATTTTTATACTGTTTCTCAGGTTTTCTCTGTTTCAGTAAGATCCTGAGAGACCCACACCCCCTGCTTTTCCTGGTTGTTACATCAACCTAACTTTTATACTGTACCTCTCAACCTCCATCAGCCTCTGGATTTGGAAGAAAATCCAAACCAGAAGTGAAACAACTCTAGCCATCATGGTTGAAGAGAGGCAAGACATGGTTTGTAGATCTACTTAGTCTTTAGTCTGTGCATGCATAAAACTCTTTTTGTCCTACAGCAGATGCAGAATGGCTACTGTGGAGCCTCCCATTAACTCAGGAGCCAGAATCTCGAGTGGGAAAACCAAAAGGAGGAAAGGCACTTGACACTAGTGTCACAGGTCATAACAAAGCAGGAAAAGCAGAAAAAGGATGATGACATTAGGAGGAGTAAAGCAGGAATTATGGACAAGAATCAGGAGGAGATGATGATTGCAGGAGAAATAAGAAACAGCACTCAGTGGTGATGAAAGGAAAAAGTAGCTGAAGAATATCTGTCTGAGATGGTCCCTTACCCCAATGTAATGGTCCAAGAGAGTGGAAATTTCTCAGATTTGTTTCTCTACTGAAAAATGTCATTTTCTTAAACATTAAATGTCTCTAGTAAGTCCCACAGGACTACTGTCGGTGGGCAAGTCAGGAATGGAAGCCCTGAGCCACACAGCTCTTGAGGGGGGATGATAGTCCTGAAGTAGTTCTCCAGCTGAACACACGTGTCAGGCTCTACAAATGCACAGAGGGCGTGCTGAGACTGTACTGGCTCGGTTGTACACACAGCTGAACCTCACTATTTCACACTACTTCAAATGACCCAGCTGCACAATGCTCTGTCAGTGGAAGAATTTTTGTGCTAAGTGTAAGCAAATTAAAGTTATTAGATTATGCTGTTTTATCAGATACCTATTTCTTTCAAGTGAAAGAAACAAAAAATAAGAGTGAATGGGAAGAATGTGTCCTTCCACTAGCCACCACTACACTGCAGCAATATAAATCTCCATTAATTCAAATGCTTATACTGTTTGAAAGCATTTGGGTTAATGAGGTTCCACTGTGCGTGATTTAACTTAATATAGATACTCCTTTAAGAGGCAGTGGTCCAAAATATGATGCTTCACCAGAATAATTTATTATTTACAACTCAAGCTACATTTTCTATATGACCATCATAAATTAATGTCCATCACAGACACATACAAATATATTTGTATGTTTATGTGAGCGCTGCATTTTCATTAGTCATTTCAGGGAATTAATGTGTCATTTGGAAAACTCAGCTTGAGTAAACAAAAAAAATTAATTCAACAGAGCGACCAAGAGAGACTATTATTCTTAAGAAACTGTGTGTTCTTGTTTGCCCTTCAGCAGGGAACATGTCAAATAAGCAAGTGTGCAACACATTCATGGAAGACTGGCTCGACCTTTCAGAAACCCGAGGTCAGGATGGTCAAGAGGATCAAAACTGCCCGTGGAGGAAGAGAAAGTTAGGAGTGGTGAGGGATACATTCAGAATGCTGTTCTACTTTCTTCTGTCCACAGAAGATAACAACAGAAGGGCCACAAAATCAGCAGGAAGAACATCTGATCTTTTCACAGTAGCTCAAGTCCTGTGCACTGGTCTGTGTGTAGCTGCTCTGTTTGGCATCAGACTGAATCATGTACTGTATCCCAGAACACCACATCTACTGCTGCCCACGCTGCTATTCCTACTCAGATTTCGCCTTCCTCTGCCTTTTTGCCTCTCTCCTCTTTACTTACCTTGGTGCAAGAAGGGAGCAAATGTCGTGGTTGTCACCTCCAGCTGGAGTTGCACCTCTTCTTGTCCATGACAACAACTAATGTGATTATCAGTGTCACTGTTGTTAATGTAACCCTGGAGTGCCCTCATTCAATAATGATCCAATACAGCTTGCAGGGGACAGGAGGGTTTCAAGGACAGCCTTTCAAGATGCCTGCAGGTTCAAGAAGTTCAAATCATCAATGCTTTCTCTCCATTTACTGTCAGATGTTTTCTCTTCTAGCATAAGGAAGGCTAGAAATGCACTGCTATTCGCCCACTCTTTCAGACAAGGTAGAAATTTCCTGCTCAACACCCTCGCTCTAATCCTGCACAGCCTTCACGGCAACTGTTATTAAACTACTCCATTATGAGATTAAATAATTACTGGGGACAAAACACATGTTCAGGTTTCTGTATTTCTGTCAAACATTTGCTATTGTTTGACTCTACTTTCCTTTTTCAGCTTGAGAGATGCTGAAAATAAAAACCACTTCCTTCTACTACAGTATCTTGAAGACAAAAGCTGATGCTTCCAAAGCAGGCTTCCACTGTGACTGAGGATACTTCTTTTGACTTTTTTCAGGTTCCTCTTTTTCTGCCTTCCCCTCTCTTGCATCATTTTACTCACCCTTCCCCATCACATAGGACTGGTCTACACTAAGATCCAACCTGATCTTCTTTGCTGAATTTTGAAAGTAACTTGCAACAGTCCCAATCAAATGGATCTCTCCCAGTTCACCCTGTTTTAAAAAACTTTTTTTTGTTGCAGGAGCAAGTAGCTTAGGATCAATACTAAGGATAATCACAACTACCTGAGGCGTGATAAATAAGATCAAACCTAAACTCCGCATACAATAAGTGATTCTTCAGGTAATTTTGTTCAACTGCCACAGTGTACTGCCCATCAGAAAATTCCTAGACCACTGAAGATATGGAGAGCCTGCCTCTGGCTGATGAAAGAAGATGCTGATGGGAGTTAGAGTCAGTGGCAGCAGACACGTGTGGCACATGCAGTGTGTGGCATCCCATGAACTTTGTTTTACTCCATCTTCAGGACAGTCATCTGGAGGAGAGGTATATAAAGGAAGGCAGTAACAAAATCCTATTGCTAGTCTAAAAGAAAGTCATCTTTTTAGGGGCAGCAGTCAGTGAAGCTCCTGGAGCAGAAATGGAGACCCTCCTGTATCTCTCACAGCATTACAGTTCAGGCAGCTGAAGAATCAGTCCTTCAGTGCAAATGCCATTCCGAATTTCTCATAAGTTCCATATTGCAGAATTACAATGAAACCACAAGAGTTGCTGTATTGTTACTTTTTACATGTTCTTACAACCTGCTGTGACCTCCCTCCAATATTTATCCTTGTTCAGAATGCTACTTCTTTCATTGCTTCTGTTGTCCCTGCTCATTGCAGGGAGGTTGGACTAGATGACCTTTAAAGGTCCCTTTCGAACCAAACTATTCTATAATTCTGTTCTATGATTCTATTCCACGATTCAAGCTCCAAGATGACCCCACATAAGATGACTGGTATTCCTCAACTGGTTTTGCACATGGCAAAACATGGCCCCAAGTCGTGTAGCTCGTGTTTCTGATGGGTGTTACAGCTACTGCCGCCAGGCAGTTAGGAAAGATTGCCAAATATTGCATTTTATGGCTTGAAAACTTTAAAAGAAGACTGAAATGCAAGGAAGACAGATTTACAAAGGTGGCAGGGAAGGGAAGGGGTAAGCTGGAAAGAAACCAAGACAAGATGGTGAGAAGGAAAGGAGGGAATACATGGGGAAGGCAGACAAATGGACCAGGCAGGAAACCAAGTGAAGGAAAAAGGTGAAAGAGGAAGCAAACAGTATGGTCAAGAAAGGGACAGCGAGGGAATGGCAGAAAAAAGGGAAAAGAAAATAGCGAAAAAGGAGCCAGTGGAGGAGGGGGAAATGCAGAGCTCCTTTCTAAGAGATAAGGGAAAATAAATGGAGGCTGCTGCTTGAAGCAGCCAGCAGCAAAGTAACATATTACTGGGTGTGCATTTCAACAAGAAATGTACATTAGACGGGTAACAAATTACAGAGGGTTGTCTTCCCCCTGGGCAGAAATCACACAAAGAATAACTGATATTCTCATAAGTCTTGTGATTTTGGGGTCTTTGGACAGGCAGAGTTGGAAACATATGGACTACAGAAGATCAGTATCCCCTCCTTGAGGGGCTCTGGCTTTGCCTCACCCATGTAGCTGTATATTCTTTTGATCACAGACATGAAATACAGAATTAAATTAAATTATTCTTTGGCTTTATTTTCTCCTGAAATTCAGCAGGATTTTGGAATCCCTCCATATAACACTCCTGTCTCTTTGCTTGCACGAAAACACTCCTAATTGCTGATTATACTTTTTGAATATAAGCTTCACTGAAGATCATTCAAAGAGGACACATGGATGCTGGACAGAGCTGTGCTCTTCTGTTTGGGTGTTCAGATTGAGATCATCCAAGTCAGCATGCAAATGCTCTAAGGTGGGCACTTACTGATCCTGCCAGAAGAGTTTGGTGCAATGGCTATTGGATTACTATTTATATTCCATTAAAAAAATACAGCAGTAAGCTTTTAGGGCTGCAAGGTCAAACTCTGAGGAGAAAGAAGATTCCCAGGCTAAGGCAGGATAACTCTTCTGGTCTTATATGCCTATGCACTAGGACAGATTTTATTCAGAGGATCATGTGCAATTTTTGCAAGGGATCCCCTTATCATTCAATGCACTGAAGGGTTAGACATTACATTAAATCTTTCCAAAGAACTCTAATCCATAAAAATCCATCACAGAAAACATACTGAATGGCTGATATTTGGCAATCAGGTGGCAGCCAGGCAGTAATGCTTTCTGCAGCACTCCTGACTTTGTCTGGAAATTTCTAACTGTAATACTGTGAGGCAAAAGTACTTCTTTGTGCTGGTTTGGCAGAAATATGTAATGATGGCTTACAGTGTAGATTAGCTACCAACACAGCAGGTCATGTAATTAGCCTGGATGGCTTAATAAAAGGTAGTGCAGAGCCCCCATCAGCCCTTTCACGCTGGCTGGCTGTGGGTTGGAGGAGACTGTAGGGACAGCATGTGGCTGATCACGAACAGCACAACATGAATTCCCTCTCCACCACTTGCCTCACATGTAAAGACCACCCCCAGCCCTTGGGGACCAGCACCACATGCCTGAGGGTGACATGTGCTCAGAGCACCCATCCCAGGGTTTCACAGAGTGGGGTCATTTTTTGATGACAAAGTGAGTAATGATCTTCAGGGCTTTGTTGGGAAAGCCTCTATGAATCCCCAGTAGCACTGCAGAGCAGGACACAGGGAGAAAAGGGGAGCACCCTCCCACCCCCACAAACACCATGGGCTCTACTGCCAGGAGAAAAAAACATTTCCAATTCAATTGTCTTCCTCGTGGCAAAGCTGAGGTTCACATTCAGGGCATTTAAAAGTTATAAATCAAAGCATCCACAGTAGAACTTCAATTGGTCAAGATCAGCCTTTCCACACAGGCAGGCAAACACCCATCATGGTAAGCTCTAGTGCCTGCTTAAAGCCATCTTACCAAAGCAAGCACACAGCTGCATTTTCTTTCAAAATACTACTGTAGCCTTTTAAGAGAGAGGGGGAATAATCTAAATTCTGGCAGTGGAGAATATTTCACAAATCATATATGCTTTGGCATCAAGCCCTTAAAGCCAGAGGCCTTTACTCACAGGCTTTGCTGGGAGAGATCCACCCACCTCAAGTGGGATTAATTAAAAGAGGCATGTATCATGCAAATAGTTTCTGTTTCCTTACAGAAATATTCAGAGCACATAACCCAAACCAGCTTTAGAATCAGAGCGAAGCAAGGAAGAAAATTATTTCCTGCTCCCCTAAGTCTTTCCCTTTCCCTGTGCATTAAGGGAGGAACTGTGAGAAAACAGCGAGAGCTCGCTATTTCTGCACGATTCTTTTGATTTTAAGTTGAATATTATTATTCAACTAATAAAATTGAAGAAAAAAGTTATGTTTTTAAAGACAGGGGCTGTATCTCACTAAAAGGTGCCAAATTTTCCACACCAAACGTGTGCTAAGCTGCTCATTGGAAAAGGACAGTCCCAAGTTTTACCCCCTGAAAATGATCTTTTATCTTAAGGCAGAACAGGAGAAAATGGAAACCTTATATTTCTTCAGTATGTCAGGATTTTTAGCTTCACATGACACGGCTTGCAAGAAAAAGCTCCTCTGGAGAGAGAGATAAACTTTAAAATACTACTTTCTTCTCAGGAAGCTAAACTATTTCCCTAGATAGGAGAGATCCCGACACTTCAAGGAATCACTGCAGAAAATGGTGGTGGAGCAGTTCAAGCACAAAGCCTCAGTTCAAAAGTAAGTCACAAAAAAGCACAAGTTTCTACAAGAACTCTTCCTCAAAACACTTTTTCCCCCCTTTTAATATCTCAGACCCATTTTCTGAGTCAATTTCCTATGATCCTGCAAAGGCTGTTATTAAAACCAGACCAAGCGTAGCTGAAATTCCAGGGCTTAAAAGAAACATTTAATAGGCACAGGAGCTGGCCACACTGTCCCCCTCAGGTGATTTCCCCTGCAGCCCCTTCCCTGGGATTTCCTCCCTCGCAGTTTAGTCAGCAGGAGAAACCTGAAGTTTGGGCAGACCAGCAAACCCTTCCTTCATTCTTCAGCAGCTGAGATTTTTTTTTTTGTCCGAGGCTTACATAGCTCTAAAAAAGAGAACTAGGATCCAGCCCAGAAGATGCATATTGCAGATATTTTTTCCACAAAAATGTCAGGCAGTCACACATTCAATTATGTATCTAGCTACAGCATTTAAAAATCACTGACCTCCTTTATCCACCAGTGCTTTTCATGCCACCAGTGGCAGTCCCGAACTGAGTCATTCACAGGCTGCTTACCCACGTGTCTTTTGTGCGCTAGAAAATTCCTTTCTGGTCTCCATCCCACCTATCACTTTGGCATGAAAGAGATGATCATCAGACATGCTCTTGGCAAGCCACCTCAGGAAAGCAGTGTCCATGCAAAACCCCGGCCGGGCAGGATGAAGGAGACGTGCTGGCTGGCAAGGCGAGGGGAGAGGAGCCATGGTTCTCTCTGGCAGCACAACTGGCAGAACAGTGGCCCCCATCTCTGTCTCTAAGCTGTGATTTACCCTCCAATGGCACAGAGGAAGCACCGGAGCCAGAGCCCTCTGGCCCAGCCCCAGGCTCTCCCACGAGGGAATGATCCTTGGGCTTCTTCCCTTCCAGCGCAAAGCTCAGAAAGGCAATTCCAGGTTTCTCCACAATGGCCCCTACTGCAAGCTACAGGATATCCACTAAGATGAAAGAGTGTGTTTTGTGGTTGGGCATTGATGCAACAACACCCTTTTCATAGCAAATACATAAAAATACTCCATTCCTTTGATATACCTCATTTGTTTATTCTTCCTATTATAAGGGGTAATTATATTTGAAACACTAAGCCTCAAGTTTAAGTTACTGACAACTACAACAGATCTCATCTATTTAAAATAAAGTTTTTCTCCAAAGGTTCTCCTCTCAATTACCATTTTTAAAATTGAAAATGTGCACATTTTATTTTTGTTTCTATTTAACTGGCGGGTTTGTTTTTTTTTCAAACCATGACTACTTTCAAAGTAACAGTTAATTTATCAAAAATGGAGAAACCCCTTTGTTCCAACACTGGCTAATCTGCCCAGCCCCTCATAATTTAAGAAGTTAATGAAGCCCTCGGAATCAGAGGTTTTCATATATATATATGTATATATGAGTGATTATGTGTATTACATCACTGTGAAAATAAACATTAAGGACATTTTATCCATATAACCTATATAAAAAAACAGTTAATGCCACAGAAAAGTATAAAATATGCAAAGCTACTTTAAAAAGTCCTGATAAATGCAAAGCCCTGGGAAGAAAAGGAAACTATGTGCTGAAGAAAATCCTGTTCCTTAACTAATTGTTTTGTACCATATGATCTACACTGTGGACTGTTTTCAACTGGCTGTAAATTACTGGCCCTGCGGGATAAGAATCAGACTCCTACCAGTTTGTTCCACTGGTTCTGCAAGGATTGCTCCTGTTCTACCCAGAAGAGCCATTACTTCCTCTGGTGAGGATTCAGAATGGCAGAGGTGAGGACCTGCACCCTGGCACCACTTCTGGTGGAGGGGTAGGTGACCTCTCTCTCTCTCTCTCTCTGAACCCCTGTGTGGGTACAACACAACCAGAACTGGGGGTCTTAAGGTAAAGGAAATCAGTGTCTTCCAACTGACTGACTGGAATTTTTTTTTAAATTAAAAAAATCTTGCTATCTTTTCAAAAAGTCATATTTGTGCTGAAAATTGGTTCCTCAAAACAGCTTTGACTCTCTGTAGGGAATGCCCGGTTTTGCTTTGCTACAAAATTCCCTCAACAATGGCACTCAGCTTTCCAACACAGCGCAGGGTCTGTCTGTTATGCCAGAGGGAGAGAACCATGCCACCACCAGGAAGATCACACATCTTACCTTGGGACACTGGGAGGAGCCCGGGTGGGCCGGGAAGGAACCTGGGGAGGTCCTCCATGGGCTTCTCCAGCACTTGGGAACGGAGGCAGTGGTCCTGGGCGGAACGGGACCGGGGGAGCCCCCGACTGAGGGCCTGGAGATGGGATTGCAGGAGCTGGTCCTCGGCCAGATAAAGGTCTGGTTGGGGGATTGTTTAATGTCGGTCTCCTTGGAGTTGAGGGACTTGGAGGAGGTGATCTAGTGAAATAACAGAGATTTTAAAAGTTCATTAAGGTGGGGGTTTGTTTGTTGTATTTTATTTTACTTTAAACAGAAGTTAAAACCTTTTTTATGCCTATGGCAACTGTTTTTTCTTGGCATTTTCCTTTGCTGCCAATGTCAGAGGATCACATATAATTAAGTCCCACGCTTTTTCCATTGACAACATACAAGCAAAGAGGTAAACGTAATAGATTTTATTATTCAAGTTCTAAGAATGTGTTGTTAAGTGGGTTTTCTAGGACACAGAGCCTGAGATGCTGAATTATTGTAACAGCTTGCAAGAAAGAGGCCTTGTGGATGTACAACTGGGGTGACAGAAGCAGCTGCTATTTGAAGCATCAGAAAAGCTACAAATCCACTGGATGGTCTCCTGCAAGGCAGATATTCCTGTCTGGTGTCACATACATATCCACAGAAGATGTATATGTGGGAAAATGTTTTGATTTCCCTCACAGATGTCATTAAAGACCTGGAGGAGCATCTTCCCAAAAAGACAGGCAGGGAGGGAGCTACTGATGCTGACTCCGTCTGCCTGTCCCGAGTTTCACGGCAATACAGATTGGAGGCTCCTCACCTGCGGGCCTGCTGAAGCCACGAGTCATCCACAGGAGGGGGAGCAGGGGTTGAGACGGTGCTAGTGCTGATGTCCCCAATGATTGCCAGGGCTTCCTTCAGTGCCTGGTACATGCGGAGCGTCTCATCCCGGCGCTGCGCCTGCTCAGCCGACTCCTCCATCAGAGTGTTTTGGTCCTCAGAAGAATACAAGTGAGCCAGGAGCTCTGCGTTGATAAATTCTTTTACCTATTTCATCAGAAAAAAAAAAAACAAAACAAAACAAAAAAACCCCAAACCACCAAAGAAATAAACAAACAAAATCTCTGCGGGAAACACAACACTGAGCAAATACGGTGGAGACAGACATACCTCAATTGAACCAGTTTCTCTTACTAGTTTTCACCAATTCAACTGGTCATGCGGTTTTTTTTAGGTCACATCAGGGACTGAAAGATGCAGAGCTCAGACTGAGCTGATGGTGCAGCAGCCTGAAGTCTAGCTGTGTCCCAAGGAAAGGCTGGCACATGCAGCTGGGCCCCGCAGCTGGAAAAGGATGGACTGGACCTTTTAGCAGCTGCCTGGACACAGATGGGCTTATGGCAATTACAGAGCCACATTCTGAGGCAGCAATTCACATCTGACAATAAGATGGTTTTGTGCAGTCGCCCCACAGTGCACTGGGGCCTTTTTTGGGTCTGTCTATGAAACACTAGACATGGTTGGAGCTAACACTGTTCTACATCTCTAAGGTGACATCTATGTTTACATTTCATTTCAAACAGGCTTCCCAACAGCTCCCAGGAGTCAGCTGGCATTTTGGTCCAATTCTAAATGGCTGACTGAGAGGTAAATGACAGTACCATCAGATATAGATTCCCCATGGAATTAGAATTTTCAGGCTTTATAACATCTGTGTCACTTATTTTCTTAGCAGCAATTTACCCTACTGTAGACACTGTCTTTCATTTCCAACAACTCTGTCAGATTCTGAATATCTCATCCACACACACTCCAACTGAAGGGAGAAGTCTCCAAGTAATCTAATTTACTATACTGATTTCCTGCTATGCTTGTCCTGGTTATGGAAACCTGGGCCACATTAAGAGACATAAAAAGCTAGAGGTACTCTGATTAAATAAGACTGTGGTAAATAGACCAACTGCTGACCTACTAAATCCTTGCATTTGAGACTTTGGTTGCTGTTCTAATCTATTTCTCATCTGGTGCTTTGCTCTATAAAACTTTTTTGAGCTGGAGATACTGACAATAATACATTCCCAGGATTCTGATTACATAAACCTGAGCTCTGTTTGTGCTAGTTTAGCAATGCTGATTTAAATCCTGACAGCGAGACTAAGGCACTGTTTGTGTTCAGGAGAGGTCAGTGAGAGCAGTCAGGCTGTTCAGGCAAGGGACCCTTTCTGGTCACCCAGCAATGAGAAGGTGGCCAGGACAGACCTCACAGGGAAACAAAACCATATTGCCTGGGCTTGGCTGTCATTCCCCATTCACGTATGACAGGAGATGCACAAATTATTAGCAAAGCCTGCAAAAATTTTCCATGAGTTTCATGCTGTTTTCCAGTAGATGGTACTGATCAAGAGCCAGAGTACACTACTTTCCTCATGATTGCCAAAAACTCCACATTAAAAACAGATATCATAGTTAAACAGCATCACATTCTGCTCGATGAAATGAGCATTTTAATGGCATCACTTCAAAAAAAGAAGAAGAAGAAGTCCTAAAATTAGATTAAGGCCAGAGCTGATTGTAAAAGCATTGTTAAACCACAAATATCTGTTTGAAAAAAATCAGCCTGTGACAATTATCATGAGAGGTCCCTGTCTTACTAGCAGGGGACTCAAGTAACTGCCTGAACCCCTCTGGAAAGGGAAGACTGCAGTGTTAAGGATGGTTCTTGGATCAGCCTCCTGCCCTCTGCAATCGGATGTGCTGTACTAGACAGAGGAAGATCTTCCACAGCAGCCACTTTCTCCAGCTTGGAAATGGAAGGGAAAGTGATGCTTACTCACACCTTTGATCCTTTCCGGAAAACAGACTCACAGGAATGGTTTAAAACGTTTTCCTTCACAGACATGAGACCTGCAGTCAAAGTTGAACCATAGGAAGCATCCAAAAGGCCAGTGCCCTAAAACTTGCCCTGTCACTCTGAAGTGGGGTAAGGTAGGCTTGTAACTTCATCAGTGGGAAGACTACAACACACATCACTGCCTCAAATGCAAACACAACCCATTCCTCACCCTTCAGTTTGGTAGTAACGAGTACTTTGGAGTTTTTCTACTCAGCTGAGATCACTACCAGCACTGCTCATGGAGCATACACTGACTACTCTGAGACCACCCCTCAGAGAGGATACCTGGGCACCATGAAATACAAACTGGAAATGTGTGTTTTGTTTGGGCATGTTTGAATTGCTAATGGTAACTCAATGCAGTTCTGTGTGGTAAAAGTATTTTCTTTTAAGGTAATCAACATCCACCCTAAGGGAACAATAAGCAATGCATTTGGAATACAATAGTCTAGGTTTAGGCCTCAAAATATGCTCAGGGACAACATCTGATTATTTTCTGTACACTGAGTTTGAATCCGATACTTTCCTTGAATTTTAAGTGCTTGTTTATGGGCCCACAAAGTGGAAAGGAAGTTCTAGGAGAACTTGGGAGGTTACAATTGTCATGGAAACAAACTCCTTGGGATCGATTTGTTTCCAGAGTTTTGGAGGCAACATGATGGGGCAGCAGAAAATACAGAGTATGCTCATTAGGGGGGAAGGAGGGTGTCTTCACTTAACTCCTTGTGGATGTATTGGACTTCTGAAGACACCAAGGAACACACACACAGCTTAAAAGGACCCATCTTCCATCACAGCTCCACAGCTTTCCAGGTCTCTGCACAACCTTTTGGCATGGCTCAGCAGTCTTAATTCAACCATTTCTTTCTCTTTTTAATAGCCCTGATTTTTTTAAATTGACATTTTAGCTATTTTTAATATAGTATTTTATTGCCTATACTGTACAGAAACAAGTTCATTAGTGCTTCTAGCCCCACTCTTCACAGTCCTTTAAAATGCTTTGATTCCTTGCCACCAATTTAAACTGCAGGATGGAGGGATAGGCCTGAGCTCACAAGGAAGCCCAAATGAGGCCAACTGAAAGGTAGCTGATGTTTTAAGCATGTTTTTTCTGCGTGCCATGGCCAGCCAGCATGGCAGGCTCTATCAATGTCACTAACAGCTGATGAGATTGAAAGTATAAAATCTTACAGTAATCTACTTCTGAGTAACACACACACTTCAGAGACCCTTAAACGATTCCATATGAGGAGGTGAGTGGCAGAAAATTTAATGTAAGGTTTCAAAAGGAACTGCTCACCGAGCTCTGCCATTGATGAAATGAGAGCTAAAGCCCAGCCCTTTCAAAAGGCACTGTAGATGGGCTAAAGTCAAAGCAGCAGGTTGCTAGGGGTGATCTGGAAAGAGCAGTGAGAACACGCTCACCTTAAAAAGTCAAGAGTGTGGCTGATTTCTGGGAAAAAAAGGCAGTTCCATTATTCCCATGTTTTTTGTAAAAACTCACCCATGGTTAGACTTGCAGCCTGACTCCTCTAAAACTAAAGAAGTTAATGAAATATCACTTGCCCTCATGCAAAAATTCTACTTGTATTATATGTACCAGAAAATCCCACTGAAATTTTCTGTCCAACCACCTAACTCTTAAATGCAACACAAAGTCCACAGGGCTAATGAAATCCATCAGATGAAGGCTAGAGGTGGCTCTGAGTCAAAAGTAAACACTACCTTCTAACCAGATTTGCCTCACAGCATATTGTATTCCTAAAGACTGATTGGTTTGATGACCTCACCGAAACAGTGCTACTCATAACTAGCAGGAGCTGTGCTCCCCATCAGTAATTTATATGGCAGCAGTGGCACTAATATTAAGCTTAGTTTTCAACAAGGTCCATTCAGAACTCTGCCAGGCAGCAAAGGTTGAGATCCTACTGCAGTGGAATAACAACAGTATCTGAAAGCCATTTCTTTAAGCAAAGAATCTTTGAATCTAAGAAAGACACACACAATAAATCAACCAACCACATCTGCTTATCTAAACAACACTGTCCAAGGTTTCCAAGATTTATTCCTTTAAAATGGTAACCTGAAAATATAGAGAAACCCAAATAAAATAAGAACTACTTTACAAACCCATGACAAAAGGCTGTAGATTGAAAATCAAGGAAGCACAACTCTGCTTTGCTGCTCTCACAGACTGCCTAGATGGAGCTCCCAGTTTTCCTGTGCGTTCTCCCCTTTTTTTGGGGCAACCCCCCTGCCCCAAAACAACAAACAAGCCAACCCCAAACCAAGTGTGATGTACCTTTAAATAATAACTTACATTCTGACTGAGATGTACATTAATTCAGTCTTTAGCATTTTGGGGTAAGCACTAAAGGCAGTGTGCCAGCCTTTGAGAAGGCTGCAGAACTTCCTAGTACTATGGAATATTGGAATATTTTGTCTAAGAGTGTGACATTTATGGGAGTATGTTCTCTTTAGAACACGCTGTTGCTGCTGCTGCATCCAAGAGGTGTGTTTGAGAGTAAGAGATTTGACAGACATGTTGAAATAATTTAGAACCCTGGCTGCTACTTACGTTATTGATCATAAGATGCATGATTGTTTTCGGTATCAAATCTCGGATACATTTGTTAATAATAGACATGTAGGAGTCCACAAGGTTTCGAATTGTCTCCACCTGTCTCTCCAGCTGGGGGTCCATTGAAAAATTGTCTGCTTGGCCATTCTCCTCATTTTCAGTCTACACAAAAGAAAAATAAAAAGAAAAGTCAAGTCTTTCAGATTGCAGTAAACTGGAAATATACTGGGGGAAAAAACCCCTGGACTTAAACTGTAGTAATCCAGCAAAGTAACTCATACAAAGACTACCCAGAGGTTAAAATATATAGTACAGGACTTTAACATTAATGTTCAGCGTCATGAAATTAGGACCTTTAAAGTTAATGCCATATGAGACCTTTTGCACAAAGTACATTATATATTTCCAAACAAATATTAAAGAAAGCGTTCAGACAAAGACTTGTGGTGGTAAATGACACACCAAAAAATTATCACCTCAGATCACATACTGCAAAACTTACTAACAAATCTTTTACCATTCAGATTCAGTCAGCTTGACCCATGCAAGAAAGCAGCACCCTAAGTCTGGATTTTGAACTGGACCCTCCTATGGGTAAAATCCACCCGTGTTACTTAAGGCTGACTTGTTTGTGACAAATTCCGTAGTTCAGCCTCAAACCTGTTGGGTGAGAATAGCACCTATATAAACAAAGGATTTATGAAGGATAACAGCAAAAGCATCAGTGGTTCCAGTGCTCAAGGCTCAGCATAACATTTGCTGGATTATATATTAGAAGTCTCTTTTTTATTGGACAGAAAAACACTTCTTTGTATGTAAACAGCTGAGCTAATTAAAGAAAATACCAGGAACTTTTAACTAGAAGCTAAAAAGCCTGTACTTTGCTCCAGTCTGGCCTGTATAAATATAAGAAAACCTAAAAAAAAATAGTAGCCTTTTGGTGAAAAGCAAACTGCTTTCTGAGGTTCAAAGATGCCAAAAGAAAGGAATTTCTACCCAGAAAGTACAAAGAACAATGCTCCCCAAACTCTGACATATAATACTTCTCCGTGAAAACGACCACCAGAGCCTTGGTACCTTGAACTATAAAATCTAAATCTGTTCGGTGGATACCTGGAAGCATAAAAATCACAGAATCCCAGAATGGTTTGGGTTGGAAGGGATCTTAAAGCTCACCTCGTTCCTGCCACGGGCAGATTCCTGCAGGCACCCCCTTGCACTAGCCCAGGTTGCTCAGTGCCCCACCCAACCCATCTTTGAACATGAAGAAAGAGAAAGTACTTGCAAAACTGAAGAACCCAATAAGGAGAACTAGTTATGTATCAGCCAGAGCCCTACCAGCACAGCTCCATTTACAGTGGAGTGTTTAGCTAAAATCTGCATATCTCTGGTGCTTTAGAGAATCTTAGAGCAGCTGAAATGAGTATCTCACCCATCAGTGAAAGGCCACTAGAGCTAGATATGCAAACATCACCAAAGAGGCTTCTCCTTGCATGAAATGCCTTCTTACTAGGCCAAAAAGGGATTTCTGGTTTAATTTCCTAATGCAGGGCCAGTTTCTGCTCATTTAGCACTTCGTATCTACTCCTTTTAAACTACATCTTGGTCAGTCCAGTCTAAATGAAATGAGGTGTTTGTGCTTTGTTAAGTTATAGTTTTGTACCATTTAGAAACAAAACCAAGTGATAGCAAAAGAAGTTTCAAAAGTACAGGTGAACTACTGAAAGAACAGCTAATCTTTAAAAATAATTAGCAATGCTTCCTAAAAATCTTGGGACTGTGGAGGACACTGAAAGAACTCTTGATGAAAATAGGGTTTTCTATGCTGTAACACCAGTAGATACATACCTAATAAACCTTAATAATTTTGTTAATAAACTGCATATGCCAAAAAGTCACAAAGTGCAGATTGAGTATCTTCCTCAGTCTCCATGTCTGAAGAGAAACTAATGTTAAGTTTCCTTGTGACATATCAAATAAATGGAAAATCATACATCTGTCATATATCTGCAGATTTTAGCCAAGCAAGCCAAAAATGGCCCCTTCCCAGTTCCCCTGAATTTGACTTCTATTCTCTTTCTTCTTCACTATATAAAGTGTAGTTTGTTCATGTATCTTTTTTCTTTTCTTTTTTTTTTTTTTACTGTTTAAATTACAGATTGCAGTAAGATTTGTAGCTGGCTAAGCAGCAAAGTGACAGATGTTTATCATTATCCTCATCAAGAGAATGTAAAGTAAAAATATAATTTTTCTCTGATCTTTAAGGCAAAGGGTAATAGCCTCTTGTTTGAAACTGTAACAGAACTGACTTCATATTGTTGATTTATTTTCTCTGAAATCAAAAAAGATCAATCTTCCACGAGTTTACAGTAATTTATTATGAAAGTTTCTGGCCATAGTATTCCTAATGAATTGATGTCTCAACTGAAGGCTTTTCATGCCAGAAACCATCTTGTTTGCATCACATCAAGCAGATGGAAATCTGCTTCCAACAGATTTCTGTGCCCTGCAGTACACCTACAGGCTTTCTTTGGTCAGCTGCCTCTGCGTTGTGCCAACGGCAGCATTCATAAATGAGGTTGCTTAGTAAAGCCTGGCATCACAAGGGATAGAGATGCCCTATTCCATCTCCAGGCCATTCTTTGACAACAGCTGTTTTCTCACCGAGCACCACAGTGATTCCAGGTTCAGTGCAAGCCACCCCTCAGCCCAAGACCCTGTCGGTCTGCATTCTGGAAAGGCTCCTGTGAGTCTGCTGCAAGGGATAAACCCACACCAGAACCCATCAGCAACGTCCCACATCTCTCTGCCGGCAGCTGAACAGAATGGTCAAGCTGAGCAGGAAAGGAGAATGAAGAAGTGGAAACAGGTTTCTGTGCCTCCTTTCCCAACAGCCAGGGCAGCCCCAGTCCTTTCAGTGTTCCTTATCCTCGAGCCAGAACTTGCTAATTCCAACAGCAAGTGTTAAGTGACAGCATATGAATCTGGGCTAAGTTTTCAGTCAGTTGACTCTTGCTTAACACTGCTATTAATTGTTGACAGGAATGGAATATTATCACTTCAAACGAACACAACTGCAATTACTTTAGGGACCTTTGTAAGCCTCCAACAAAGAAACTACAGAAGAAGCTGGAGCACTAAAAACCAGGTAAATAAAATTAATTCATCTTGGAAAACCCAAGTTCAGAATATCCGATGAAAACACACCAAACCTACAGAGAAGCAACAGGTGAAAACACCACAGACAAGGGAAGGTAACCCGGGAGCCAGGACGGTGCTTCCATTTATGTACACACCCCCACAGAGAGAAGGTCCTTCCCTTCTGCTCTCTGCACTTCAGAAGACTGAAAATAATATCCATTCCTCGCACACTGCTGTGGGTCTCACCTGTCTTTCAGATCTGCTCTGTGCTCCCCGCATGGAAAGGATTGAAACCCAAAGTACACACCACTGCTACTCTGCTGCTTTCCTGCATTTACACACCTTCTGCACTGAGAACGTGTTAAGGATTAACTAACGTGTCATACAAGAGCAGACTAAAAACTGCATGTGAAATCCAAACCACTTAAGCTTGTGGGAATTTTACTGCTGGCTGCAGTGGAAATAGGATTTCACCCTACACATGCATTTCTACTGGAAAAGTTTTCGATCTTCCGAAGACTGTAAACTCTCTGCTGCAACAGGAATGATTTAGTACAGTGCAAAGGGATGTGGGCAGGAGGAATTGTGTGCATTTCAAAACAAAGGAGCAGCATCTTAGAATATCAGGATAATTTTCCTGACTGTAGAAATTATAAGCGTGTTGAAGAACGTCCCAAGAAAACGTAATGAAAAGTGATTCCTTTTAAAATTCACAGCAAAACTGGGTAACATAGGGAAAACAGTCCTGAGCTGGCCACACAGAGAGCGCAATACTTCTAATTTCCATGATTTCATTACATTCAGGGCAGCTGCCAGCATATTTAAGAATGTCTTGTATAACATTCCTGATGTCAGTTCCAAGAAGGAGCATTTGTCTAGCGTTTTCATTAGAGAAGTGTATCAAGCAATTTTCTGTAATCAAAAAGGCATTCTACTAGGAATGACCAAGAGGAAGCAGACTGGAAGGTGAGCGACTCCAGGGTAAAAACCAGAGCAGCAGCAAAACAATTCTCTGTACACTAAGGAACACGTCCATGGCTTCAGTAAGAAATTGCTCATTTAAGAGCTGCTTTCGGATCTTTCATTTACAGATGCAAGTTCATAACAACCACCACCACCTGAAAATTTATTATTCCCTCCAGATTTTATTTATGCTTTAATTCACAGCTGCCAAATATAGAATCTATTTCATCTCTTCCTGTCCAAGAAATATTTTCTTTAATGCACGAACACTCAGCACACTACAGTTGTCTTAAACCCCCCTGCTTTTTCCTAAATCTTTACATTGACTCTCTCTCCACTGCAGTTTGATGCTGCTGTATATATAATTTAGCTAAGATCCTCTCAGCTGTACATAGCGTGCCTTTTGCCAGAGGACTGCTGAAACCACATGATGGCTTCACACAGTGAGGTTTTCTTATTGGAAGGAACCACAAGTAAATGACAATACATTACTTTTGTGTATTTACAACAAAGCAAGCAGCAGAGAAAGAACACTTCCCGGGTAGCTTGGAAGTTGTCCTTTTCCCTCACAGAGGGTGACTTTGCCACTCTCTTCCATGCTTTCAGCATCTTCTGACTTTGTATTGCTGTTCCCTTTACTGAGCCACCCACAGGCAGCCCCTTTCAGCTGTTAGGCTTTCATTAGCAGCCTTGAACTCCTCTAAGCAGAGGTTATGATCCAGCTTTCCCTCACACACACGATCTCTCTCACTTCATAACCCCTGAGAAGAATGATACACCCTAGGCTCAATTTGATTCCCAAGTATTTAACTCTCTGGATTAGCTTAAACAATCATCTACTCAGATTCTTCTCTGTGGTTACAGACATTGCATAGTACAGACCATTAGCTAAATCCTCCTGCTGAATCCCCATACTGCTCCCCAAGTACTTACATGGCTTTAGCCATCCCAAACATTGAGAATCTATGTCAGGCTCTCTTCCTGCCTTCTTCAATCAAGAAGCTGATTTGAAACTATGAGACTGAAAGGAATGATGTATTACCAGAACTCGAACAATC